GGTCCCTTCCAGCTCAGGAGTTTCTGTGGTTGTATGAAAAGAATGTATAGGATTGTGTAGACATAAAAAGAAACTGCTTTCATTTAGGAGTGTCATTTCTGAGATTACATCCTCCAGTGAGTTATACTAATCTCAGGATCTGTTAAATGAAACAGTCTGTTAATGGCAGAGGGAGCAAAAGGTCATTAACAGAAACATTAAATTTATAAAGTAAAAAAAAGTTATGATGGAAAATACACTGTTGTTGATACCTAATGCCCCAAGATGTTGGCATATTAGGTTAGCATGGCTTGAAAGAACCATCTTTGAATAACACTGGCTACAGACTCTTTGGGAGGGTTGAAAAAGCAATGTGGAGGAGACAGTATAAAAATAATTTCAACAGAAATGAGGACGCCAGCTGTAAGTGAGATAGTTCAAGTTACAATATTAAAGGAATTTTAAAACCACTTTCTCTGAAACATCCTGGATCTCTGTTAACCTTTGTGTTTGTCACAGTAGGACATTCTTTTAAACATCCTTAATAAGTATAACTTCCTAAAGGTCATCTGAAATTGGTGTGGTCACAAAAATTTGTCCTGGTAGGACAGAGAGCTGTGTGTCAGCTGCTCTGGCCCTGCTCATGCAGGCTGTTACCCTGAGCTGAGTGAGAGATCTGGGGTCCCTCTTGTGCAGAGTGAGAACAGAGATTGATCAGATTGGCTGAATAATCATCTCCTACAGGTTTCTTTTGAAATTACTTTTCTAATAGTTTAGGGCACTTTTTTGGTTTTACCATGTTTTGTTTGGTTTGGGTATTTTAATAAACCTTTAACATTTTTGTGTGTCAAAGCAGGAAGAGAGGACAATCTGTTTGAAGATAAGTGTATCCAAAGAGCAGAGGTACTTGCTATTTAAATTATTTTGTCTGTAACAAGCTTTTAGGTTTGTTGTTTTCTTGCATTTAACACCAGTTGCTCTTCTACAACTGATTGCAGCACTTGATATGGTGTTACCTGGGCTCCTGGGCAGCACCTGAGCCTTTGGAGCAGGCAGGGGCAGAGCTATACTGACTGCTGGAACCAACATCAGGCAATTCTGAGCTCAGTGGTTTGAGAAGGGATTCAGGACTGGTGATCTGTTGAGATGGAAACTTGACAGATATTAAGATAAATTCATCCTACCAGATTATTACTCACTTGGAAAGAAGCTACAGAACTGAAGGTGTCTGTCAGAACAAGTAAGTGTATCAAGCATGCAAGCACAGGAGCGTTTTTATACAAAGCCAAAAGAAATACCAGATGTGTCACCTCTTCATCAGATCACATGGGTTGGTATGTCTCATTCACCTTGTGGTACTTCTAACTGCTTTTTCAGTTTGGCTGTAGTACAAGGCTTCCCAAACTTGTTTTTTCATGGGGCTGGCTGTCAGTGAGTTGCTGCAGCTCAGGAGTGTCCCACTGTGCTCCGGGAGCCCCTGGCCTGCGGAGCAGCAGTGAGGGAGGGATGGAGTGGCACTTACTCTGGGGACAGGACAGTCCAGGAGCTCAGGTGTCCAAGGCAGTGAGCTCTGAGCACCAGAGGGCCTGGGGGAGATGAGCACTGAGTGGTTCTTGTGTGTGAGTGCACTCTGTGTGTGTGTGTGAGTGTGCACTGCCACCCCTCTGCTCCCCTCCCTCCCCATACTCCTCGAGCCCTCCCTCCTCGAGAAAGGCAGCAGCAGCTCCTTGGTGCAGGGCAAGAAAGAGTCAGAGGGGAAGCATTTGGCACTTACTGCAGCATTCACTGCCCAGACATCCCTTCCCTGTTTCCTCCAGGTCAGCAGAGAATCAGGATCTGCCACCGCCCTGCTCTTGGCAGAGAGCAGCTCGTGTACCGCTTTTAAGGGGTTTGCAAATCACCAGTGGTACACCTCAATTTGGGAACCCCTGGTATAGTATCATTATATTTCTATGATCACATGACCTCATATTTTTAAATAATAAGTTAGCACAAGGGTTCAAAGTGAGTTTTTGACCTTAACTTCCACATTTCCTGGTCTTTGAATGCTTAACTGTGCAACGCTAATATTGCACTAAAATATTCAGAAGCTTTGATTTTCTGGAGTGTAGGCCAGAAATAGAATAAAGGGGAATTAGAAATGTGGGTCATAGGGAAAAGAAATTAATACATAACAAGACATAAAAAGGAGAAGATTTTTGCTTTTTGTTATGCATGAATCCTGCTGAGGTATTGGGAAGGAGGCAGGATTCAGGAAGAGTGGGTAGGTGATTTTAAAAATCCAGTTCAGTAAAGTCTGATCTGAGTTTTCCTGGAAAAAATAATAAAACCATCCATACACACTGGAATAATAAAACTGCACTGAGCCTGCTCATGTTGGGAGTGTTTGCCTGCACCTGCTGCCTTTGGGTGAAAAGGGAGTAGGTTTTGTTCTGTTTCACAAAAGAAGAAATTAATACAATCTCTACTCCTGAGAACCCAGAACACTTACCTCCTGCCCCAAATAAACTCTTTGACTTAAGAGTTTCCCAACATGTTCTTTTAGAGGCAAGAAAAGGAGCATGGGTGGAAAAAAAAAATCTCCTTCTGTGAAATAAGTGGGAGATGCCTGGGGGTGTCTGGGGCCTCTGGGGAGGTGCTGCCCGAGCCCCTGAACTCAAATAGTTCTGCAGCAATGCCCTGGACACTGAGCAGCCTGGCTGAGTTCAGACATCCATCCAGGTCCCCTGGGAAAGTGATCATGTAATCTTGCCTTGCCTGTTCCTTGCCTATTTCTAAGGATAGTTCCCTGTTGATAAATCAGTTGGAATACTTAACTTTTTTTTTTCTGGCAGCTGTCAATTTGATTGTCAGTTTGAATGGGGAAACATTTATGTGGCGGTTTTGATGTGCCATGTATAAAATATTCATTCTCAGTTGCTTCCCATTCAAGTTAATTTGCTTAATTGAACATGAAATATTGTGCTTTTTATTTGCTAGGTTCTCTCCTATGGGTGTAGATCACATGAGTGGGCTTTCTGGTGTAAATGTTCCAGGAAACGCATCTTCTGGCTGGTGTATCTTCATCTACAACCTTGGTCAAGATGCTGATGAGGGAATCCTCTGGCAGATGTTTGGCCCCTTTGGTGCGGTTACCAATGTGAAAGTTATTCGAGATTTCAACACCAACAAGTGCAAAGGTTTTGGTTTTGTGACCATGACAAACTATGAAGAAGCTGCAATGGCCATAGCAAGTCTTAATGGCTACCGCCTGGGGGACAAAATCTTACAGGTTTCCTTCAAAACCAACAAGTCCCACAAATAACTTGCTCGTGCTTTTTGTATGGAATAGATAATGGAGTGACAGAAGTTGAAACATTTTTGTTAGTGTAAAACTCATTTTGCGCCAATTTTCACAAGTGTTTGTCTTAGTCTAAATGAGAAGTGAAAAGGTTTTATATTCTGGGATGCAACTGACATGTTCAAATGTTTGAAATCCCACAATGTTAGACCAATTTTAAGTTCCTTTAAGTTATTTCATTTAAAACATGTTAAAAATCCCCTGAAATCTTAAGTAGATTGCATTAACTAGACCCTCTGGATGGTGGTAAAATTGAAGCATGCTTTCACTTATGAGACTAACATTTGTTTCATTGAATGTTGTCTGCAAAAACTGGAATTTTCTGAAAAATATCAGGCTGAATTAATTGATTTTCTTTGGTTTTATGTTGTTCTTCCTACCCATCCCCCTCTCCTTTTGTTCCCCCTCAGTTTCAGTAGTATGGAAGAAAAGTTGAGAAATACTAATGTTTTAGTTGACAGTAAATTGTTTGATAAATTAATATTCATTACTCTGTGTCTAGTTGAGGATCAGCTTTTAAAAGTCAAGGTCTTGTAAGTAGTAGCATGCCAGCCTAACTTTAACACCATTGAGGAGGTAAGTTGCACACTGAGCAGTGGCCAAGCTGTCCAATTCACAGGTTTTAGAAACGTGACTTTTAAAGCCCACTTTGAGAGGAATGGACCAAAGAGTTTCAAAGAAACTCCAGGAAGATTTCAGAGTCAAAATGAAACTCAAAAAAAGCAAGTGTGAATATATGTTGCTACTTTATCAGACTGAATCTCTTCTGTCCAAATATTTAATGCATGGTGCACTACTTACATTATAATACAGCAAGATACTCACTCATCTTCCAAGATCATTGTAGTTGGAATTCCTTTGGCAGTTCTATTTTGTAAAGAAAAACCAGTTATAAACATTTGAGCATTGTATTTCTCGCATCCCTTCTAATGAGTGCTAGTTTTTCTATTTTAATAGGATTTTGTTTTGACAACTAGCTTTACTTACTGAACACTCAGCAGAAAAGTACTTACAACTTGCAAGTTAGATATTAACCAAAAAAAACCCTTTGATTTGTAGATTTAAAGATTAATCCCCCAGGTTTTCTGCAGACTGCCTTGAAACTTTGAGTTGTTCTGTTTCTGTTAATTTTCTTTTGCTTTTTTGTGTTTTTTGTTTGTTTTTACTTTTGCATTTAAGAACATTAAATTTGATTTTGTTTTGCTCAAATTTTGTTTTGTTTTTTATTTTCTGTTCTTTTTTTTGCTAAGTATTGCACAAAGTGTCCAGCTTTCAGAGTGCTGTTTAAGGAACTGTAGCTACGCTTTAAGAGAATTTTAATTTACTGCTTTGACAGATGAGTAGAAGAAAAAGAATTTTGAAACAAGCACCACAATAAATGTCTCACGTAGAAATGAGTGTCACAGACTGATGTAACCCTCAGGTGTGCTTCCGTAGGCAACTGGGAAGGCTGATGCTTCCTGTACAGGTGTGTGAGCTGCTGTGCACAACTAGAGCCTTGGCTCTGGTGTTTATGTAGGTAGAGCAGGTGTGGAAATGAGGTCTGTGACAGTTGAATGCAGTGTCTCCTTGTTTTGCCTGAATCTCTACCAGCCCCAGAGTTCATTTCCAAACTCGAGAGGCCAGTCCATGCTGCCTGCTCGTCTCACTCCATCCCCAGCTGACCTTGCCTTGTGCTTGCCGCCGTTTGTCCTCTCCTTGTCCTCTCCTTGCCACGGGCTCTGCACAGCCTGAGGGCTCCCTCAGCCTCCACATGTGGCTGAGCTGGTGCCCAGCTCCAGGGAGGACCTGTGGGAGTTGCTGATGTTCCTGGACCTGCCCAGGACATATGTAAACCCTACAGACAGGCATTGGCCCAGCGAGAGCCTCCTGCTCCATTTGAGCTTGTGTGCAGTGAATGCAGGGGGATTTTTCCTGTTAAAACATCCAGCCTTGCCTCTCCTGCCAGTCTGTTCCCTCCCCATCTCTTGAGATGCTCAGTGGAACAGTGACACAGCAGCCAGCCCACTTCCACCCCTCAAAGCTGCTCTTGGCTGTCAGAGGTTTCCTTCCACCAGTTCATCACCATCCATTTATCACATCAATTATTATTTCCTTTCTGCGTACAAGGAGAGCTTGGGAAGCCTTCTGGGGGGTCTTCCCAAGTTAAAGCTGTGTAGTACAGAGAAGTTCTCTTATGTGTCCCATCATTGTTGAACCCTGCACTGTCCTGTTCCACTTCCACAGGAGTGGGCTGTAGTCATTCAGTTCCTGTCATTCTCTCTTGCTTTATTCCATTTAAGATAAATTTGCTGCTAAACTAAAATGGGAGTTGCTGTTTATCACAATACTTAGCAGGGGTTCAGACTTGTAGCGAGTGACCCCTAAACATGACTCTGTATCAGTACTGGTTCCAAGCACACTGGCCATGGCAGCAGCACATTGCTGTGCTGCCACTTCTGGAAAAACCTCCTTTTCTTGGATGCTTTCTGGCATCACTGTTCCTTTCTTTTTCCAATTCTTCCCTCTTTTCCCATCTCTCGTTCTTTGCTAAGTAAGAAGGAAATGCAGGATATGGTTTTGTACCACTACTGCAACAATCTCTTTTAGGAAAGGTCTGATTCCAGCTTTCTTTGCTAGTTGCTCTGATAATAATTTTCAGGCAATTGTTATGAGCAAAGTACTGCTGCTCGAGTCAGGAAAAGAGGAAAAACTCCTGCTAATGTCCAGAGCTGATACCAGAAGTAGTGTGTGATCATTGCTATTCTAACAGTCAAAAAAATCTTGGCAAAAATACCTGAAGTCCAGAAAAAATTGTGTATGTATTCTTGATTCTTTTGGTCCTAAAGCAAAAGGCTTGTGCATTCTACTAGTAAAGACTAAAAGGAAGCTTCTAGGGGTGGAAACTAAATTCTAACAAGACATCTGTCAGGAGTTTTTCTGCCCAAAAGGTAGGAGCAGCTGGTTTTCTTCTCACACTGCTTTGAAGCTCTCACTTGAACAGACTGTTTCAAGAGAGGTTTTGGCCTCTTTATTCTCAAACAGTCTTCTGCTTTTTCATCCATCCATTTGATGGAAGCCAGGTGTTTCTGTCAGGTGAGTCTTCTGCCAGTAAATGATCCAGTAAATGGATCTTTGTGGAACCAAAGGCTGTCTCAAAGCAGAGGTCTCACATTGCACATGAGATGCAGTGGTCTCATTGAGGTAGAGAGTTCTGGAAAGTCTTCATTGCAGGACTAGGATGTGATAATCAGATTTTGGAGACCTGAATCTTTTGGTCTGTACTGAGATGTGCTACAGGAACAGCTGAGATTAGAGTGTTTTAAGGTCCTTTAGAATAGGTTGAGTCTCTTGGGACAGCCCCTGGTGTAGCTTCTGAAGGACCAGGTGTAATTCCTGCTGAAAACACAGGTTCATGCTGCTGTCCCAGGGTCTCATGCATAGATGCTGAGGGGAGTTACTGCATTTGCTTCCCAGATGTCCACATGAATGGAATTTACCCCATGCAGAACGCTGGCCATGAGCCTCATCACCTAGAAACCTCCTGTTAATCATTAGCACATAGGCAAATACCACATAAATATGGAAGAGGAATCTCTGTATGTGCTTGGTGTGAGCTGGCAGAGGGACATGCAGATCCTTCAGGTGAGGGGATGGCAACACCAGAAATCCAGACATGAGCAGAATCAGAGCAGCTCAGTGTGTTCAGTTCTCGGTGGTTCCCTGTTAGATGGTGTCTGTGCAGTGAAGTGTTGGATTTGTTTTATTTTATTCTTCAAGCTGCATTATCGTAAAATTTGATTGACTTGAGCTGCTCCACTCTCCTGTCAGAGACTGGCCAGCGCAATTACTGTTGCCTCCTGAGCCTTCCTCTGCAGTCCCTGCATCTGTTACTGCTCTGGGACTGGGAAAGGCTTGAGGATCCAGCTCCCAGGCTGAGGGGAGAAGTCACATCACCACAGTGGTGTGTGTGGCCGCATAGCTTTTCCTTCCATTTGCTTGGATATGTTTTTTGTACATCTGTATCATGTGAGTATGAAAACCATGGAAAACGCAGAGACAAGTCACTGGAGCAGGATAAATTGTCACCACAGTGAACATTGGTTGGTCAGTGTGTGGTCACTTGCTCTTGTCCAGATGACCAAAGGGTGTTTGCATGGAAAGGACACCTATTTTTATAGGGGGATTAAATGTTGCGGTACTTTTATTTATACAAAGCAGTTAAATATCTTTTTAAGTTTTTAAAAAGTTAAAAAAAAGAAACTTGGTATCATTTATAAAAGGATATCCAGCAGTCAAAACCAAAATGGTGAACTAACTGCAAAGGTGATCCATTATTTTAAGACTGAGTTTGGAAAGTGAATAGTCCTTAAGGTCCTTCAACAACTGTTACAATTCTATGTTGCTTTAATGTTCTGGGTAAGGTTAATAAAGTAGAAATTCTTAAAATATTTCAGGAAACATTTTTTTCAGTGCATTTTAAATGGCAAAAACTCAAGGTCCTTTTTGGATAGTTTATCATTACATATGTACTTTTAAAAAAAACAGACTTGGAGAATATCCCCATGTTTATGAATCTTAACACAATACACAGGTCATATGATAAATGGTTTATTCAAAGTAGCTCCTCTGATAGCTCTGCCTGCAGATGGTTGGCGTTTGTGGGAGGTTTTTAACACGCAGCTCTTGTGAGCTACTGGTAGCCTGGTTGAATCACATAAGCATAAGTTTGACTGGGGGCTCTGTCAGAAGGTCACCGTATTTTTTATTTCCATAATGAAAAAATGTGTCCTTTATAACTGTCGATGAAGCACCTTATTGTTACATATCTACATTTAGGCATCTACAAATAGCTTTAGAGAGAAGGGACCAAATACACCTTTAGCATAAGGAAACACCAACACCTTCAGCTCCCTGAGTGGAGCTTTAGTCCTTTTTTCACTTTGTTTTTATTTTCCAAGAGCTGAATTTTTCACCTGAGGTACTTTAATCTCTATCTGGAAGCAGGAGAGTCTTTCTGTGCCTTTGGCAAGTTCCTCTGATGTAGCTCTGCACTTCTGAAGGTTGGCTGCTCAGCACAGTAGAATGGATAAATCCAGAGCTCAAGAGGCCAGTGGTTATTTTCTCTGATTATTATATTTATTATTACTGGGCTTCTCCTTACTAATATAAAAAATGAAAAATGTGGAGTTCATGAAAAGGGTCTCAATTCCCTCCCTCTCGCTTGGAAGAGGCGGTGCCTCCATGACAACCAGTGGATTGAAAATCACCGGTAATTTCTGAGCATCCGCTCGTAGGTTGATCAGGTACGGCGTCATTTCAGTGGTTGCTGTTTGTAGTAGTCTCATGTAGTCAAACAAAACCAAACTCAAAGAGTTGCTTTCTCATCCTGCATGATTTAAAGCCAGTCCAAATCTTTATGATCTCGAAAGCATAACTCACCACCCCATGGGTGGCTTTGACATTCCTCTGGAGATTCCTTCTAGATCACACTCGATCAAACAGCAACAAAGGTTTAGAAATATTTTTCTGTTGAGTGGAATTTTCAGCACTGAAATTCTCTTTTGTTGCTAATGATGGAAAAACAGTAATGGTAGAACTGCCACCTGAAACCTTGGAAAATTGCTCTGTGTTCACATTTTAGACTCTCAATATTCTCCTACTGTTCCTTCTTTCTAAACATTTTTGAGTAAGGTTTTAGTGGTATGGCTGAACTTTTTCACTTGGTCATTGAGAAGAAAATGGCTTGAGACATTTGAAACATAAGTTGAGAGAAACCTTTATTTGATGAGTAATTTGAATAATACTGTACTTCTAGTCTTTTTATTGATTTCCTTTCCTTTAACTTATGTAATCTTTTGTTTATAAATTAATCTGTTTGTGGGACAGAAGGTTTTATCAATTGCTTTCCATACTGTACAGTATATGGTTACACATTTTGTATATTTAGCGTGTTTTTAAGTTATTGATTTGTTTTATATCAAATAATTTATTTTTCAGGTACCATTTTCATTTAAACTTTGTTTTTACATGGGTTTACTTTAAATAAAGTATGACACTGCTTTCCAAATGTCTAAAATGAAGTTGAATCCCATTGTGTTATTTTGAGATGATTTATGTAAATCAACTTATTTTAGAAGTAACTGCAAAAATGTACCAAGTTCATACTTTGGTTGTGCTTCAATTCAAGTGCTTGGAAATTCTCTGCAATGATTTTTGAGCAGTTTGAAAAAATGGAGTTTTCATATTGAAACAGTTCAAAGATTTGTTGATGAAGCAGCAGTTTTGTAGAATCCTGTGGATGGAGTTATGAATATTGTTTTCTATATGGATTTTCAAAATTGAATGAAACAACTCATAGATATTTTTCACTGGTGTTAAGATTTAAATGTCGTTATCTATGTTAATAGTGCAAAGGAGTTTTTGTACTTTTGCCACATGTTCATGGCTGGTTTTGTTGAGCACTTGTTTGGAACATACTTGGGATGCTTTTACTTGAGCCCTGTTGAAGGGTGATGTACTTCAAAATAGAAATAGGCTTTTACTAAATTGTTCATATTTTGTCTTTTTTTCCCTGCAGGAATTGGATTATTATTGTGCAGTTTGGAATTTGACATGTTTTCAGAAGAATCTGAACTGTGTTCAGGAATAGGCCAATCAAGGTTCCTCCACTAAAGATTTTGTAACTTGTGGCCATGTTAGAAAGATGGAATTAAAAGAAGGGGCTTAGTTTCCTTTTTATTTTTCAGGAAAAAAATTGTTGTCTTTATCTTACATTTTTCTTCCTGATTAAACCAAAGCCCAGTTACTTAGAAGTATACAGCGAAACTTCTTCAGGGAGCTCCTGGGGAAACACCTCAAGTTGGCCCATTGGAGCTTTAGATTGGATGAAGATTTTCTGCAGATTGTGCCAGGGTTGTCAAGCCCTGGCACAGGCTGCCCAGGGAAGTGGAGAATCACCATCCCTGGAAGTGTTCCAAAAACACGTGGCTGTGGCATGGGGGGTCCTGGGCTGGTGGTGAACATGGTGGTGCTGCCAGCTTGATGGTTGGGTTTGATTGCCTTAGAGGGTTTTTCAACCTAACAACTGTGATTCCATGAGAAGGGACCATCAGTGTAGGTCAGGCTCCCTGGTTCCTTGGGTGAGGCTGGGGCAGGACTGTCTTGGTTTGGAAAGACAGGTGTCTGCTTAAGGAAGGCAGGAGCCTCCCCTGAAACGGAATAAAAAAGTGTAGACCCCCTTCCTCCAAATAAATTTGAAATTAAGGGGGGCTCTCAGGCACAAATGTAGGAGCAGGAATAACAGTTCTTTATTAGGGAAGAAAATAAAAAGATAAAATAAACAACGCAGTGAACCCAAACAACACTGACAGAGTCAGGGTACAACCTGGCACGCTGTTGGACAGGGTGTTGGCTGCAGTCCAGTTGGGAATTGTGGCTGCAGTCCCGGGAGTGTCAGGTGTGGCTCTGTTGGAGCAGTGATCCTGTAGAAAAGGGGGTGGTCTCCTTGCAGTGGAAGAGGCAGCTGTTCCTCTGGGAAATCCGGGAAATCCAGGGCAGGAAAAGCCGGGCTGGTGCTCCAGAAACTCCAGATTACATCCAGGTAGGAACGCTTGGCTCCTCCCTCTGGGCAGAGCATCTCCCAGTGGGATGCTGCAGCTTTTATCAGTCACACAGTGACATTCAATGGCCCATGAACAGAGGATTGGTTTGGGGAAGAGATGAAGGAAAGTGCCCACTTAGGAGAAGACAACTGCCATACCTCTAACAGATGGCAACTGAGCACATCTTGCCTTGCAGTCTAAGACAAGGACAGACACCCCAGGTAAAACCCTGGAGGAGGTTCTGTAAGAAGTGTTTTCCAGAAATGCTTCTGAGACCACATCTTTTTGGTTGAAGGAACACATATAACCCTGCTAGCTCTGCACAGACTGTGTTCCAGTCTTAGTCCTTTCTTCACCAAAACAAACTCAGTTTTGATAAGCTGAAATCTGTCCTGCTGTGTTTCAGCAGGTGCCTCCTGTCCTTTAGTCACAAAAATGATCTCTCTGAGAGCTGAGCTAATTGTTGTACCTTTGAGACATTGCCTCTGATTTTTCTCTTAAAGACTTACTGAGAAAAGTGATGTAAAGTAAGAGATTTAGATAGTATTTTATGTATGATATCACGGAACATGTAGCAATGCTGCCTCTGCTCAGGATCTCTTCCAACTCAGGAGTTTTTAGATTTGCAGTTATTTTTTCTGTGATGAGAATTTCTCAGTTCAGCACTGTTCGCCATATGGAATTATTTGTTGAGCTAAATTGGTAAAGAGCAGAAGTGAGAATTTCTGTTCCTACCATTATATCAGTGGATTGTTGAATGTGCAGGATCTGGTGTATTCAGGAATGCTTCATTGGGATTTAGACCTTTCCTGGGTTTTCCTCTGCATGGAGCTGGAACCCTTCTCCATTTTTGCTCCCACCAGAGTTCATCCCATGTGGTTCACTTTGCTCATGTTCATTTTTACCACTATGGTATTTTCCATGTTTTTCTTCTATGAAAAATTGTGAGGGAAAAATATATTAAATTCCAAAAAGCGTAATCACAGACATAGCCATGTGAAGTTCTAGCTCCTTAGAAATTACTCTTTTTCTAAAAGCAAACAAACAAAAAAATTGTGTAGACCCTTTAACACCCAGACAGGGATTCTGGTTTTTGCAGAATTCCTGATAGACTCCCTGGCTTTTGACTATTTCCCCTCCTTGCTCTGCTCTTGTGATATTCTGCTTCCAAATTTCACCCCCCTCATTTCCAGAACAATGAAAGAGGGAGGGGGGGAGAAAAAAGGTGTTAAACTGATATGTCAGAGAAAGATGTCTGAACCCTTTTCTCCATATTTCCTATCTTTAAAAAATTCTGGAAGAATATGACTGTAAGAAGTGTCCTGGGTCGTGCTGACTTGCTCTGGATTCTGTCCCAGCAGTGGCAGTGAACAGCTATTTAAGGAAAGCCTGGCTTCCGTCCCCCCCTCCCTTCATTCCCCTTGTGCTTCCCCAGCTCCATGTCAGAGGGGCCCTAAATACCTCCTCTTCTTTAGAATCCTGATTTTTGAAACTGCCTTTCTTTTCCCTAAACTCTCCTCTGCTTCATCCTCTACTGACAGCAGGAAGAGGAAGTGGAACATTTGGGAGTGGTTTTACACATATGTGTTATCTGTGCAGCTGAAGGAAGGTGAATAAATCACAATGCTTTGCTCTTTGCACTGTGACACACTTTCTTTTTTGTCTTTTTTTTTTATGTTTATGTATAGAAACTGAAGAGCAAAATGAGACTCTGAATCTAGTTTGTCAGAACATAACTTGTACTAACATCTCATTAACAAATAATGTTTCATTGCATCAAAATTAATTTAAATCAAATTTGGCACAGTTAAAATACAGATTTTCTTTATTTGAATTTTAAGTGTGGTTTATAATGTTCTGAAGGTTGACCTTTCCAGAATTAATTGACTTCTCCCTGCAGGGCCAGAGCTCCATGCTTACAAAGGAGCATGTCCTCAAACCAGAGCTTAGAAAGAACTGAGTTTAATAAAAATAAGTCTGTGACTTCCTGTGTTCTCAGAGTAGGGGTCGGAGGAGCTGTTTAATCTACTTTAACAAACCTGTCAAACCTACTGTTTGAATGTGTTGGAACAGATTCTGCCCCAAGAGAAGGCTCATAGAGGAGAGCAGAGCAGGAGTGGTTTGGCTTGGGAGCAGAGTTGGGGCAGTGTAAGCAGTGCTGAGCTGCTTCCTGCCATGGGCTCCAGCTCTGCTGTCATGGGAGGAGGAGGCACTGGCAGGACCCCAGGGCTGGCTTGCAGCCCATGAACAGCTGTGGTAAGTAGCTTTTGCTTCTCAGTCCTGACACAGAGGGGTTTGGTCTTGGTTTAACCAGACTTGCAGAATTTGTGATTAAACACTTTTGTGACCATGTATCCTGCTTTACCTTTCTGTCTGAGCTTGTTCCTTCTGCTTTTCATCTTTCAAGAGACACAGAGAGCACATGTGTTTGTATGTGTGTGTACACACACATGTAATACCTGTGTGTACTAAAACGTGTAGGCTGTATTTATACATTTAGAGTAGGTACACATACTTTTCAGTTGCGTGTTACTTTCTCTGCTGTATAGGTGCTATATATAGCACATGTGAAATGGCACATCTGCACTGTCCCATATCCTGCACAGTGCAGAGATGTATGTCCTTAAAAAAACAAGATTATGTGAAGCTTTCTAAGGCATTGGTCACAAATCTACAGTGATGTGAGAAGCGAGCTGTGAAAGTTTAAGAAAATTAATGCCCATCTTAGAAAGAACTTAACATCCACATTTTTTTAACTCTGGAAAACTGTCATATCTATATATTGTGTCTCAATGTTTTTCAGCAGTGGTCCTGTACTGTACCATATCACTGCTGCTCATGGAGTACCTGCCATTCCCTTTTCCCTGTGAGATACAGTGCTGTCACTCCAGTGAGTCAGTGACTTCAGAGGTCACTGATTTTGTTTTAAGCCACCTTTATTCTGTATTTTCCCCCTTTCTGTTTTTACTATATTCCATGGGTCTTAATGTTTTAATCTTTTCTTACTGCAGGAATGGAGGAAGGAAGACAGTTCAGCTGCAAGAAGGACTGTGGTTCTAGAGGGATGGCAGTGGCTGAACTGCACATGCCACGGCACACAGCATGACAGCCTGGGCTGCATGGCCAGGCCCCCCTGCCCCATCACTGGATTCCCGGAGGGACATCAGGGCTGCTCAGGCTTTTTTAGATAAAACATACCAAAGCTTTGTTCCAGCGTGTTCAGAGCTGCTTTTCTGAGCAGCACAAAGTTCAGGTTTGACTCACTGTGATGTCTGTGCCTTGTTCAGTCACTCAGGTAGCTCATAAAGACTTGCACCAGGTGTTTTATTCCAGGGCAGTGGTGCCTCCAACACTGTAATAGTTTCTGGAAGCATTCTGGCTGCCCCGATTTGCATCTTATGTTACTTACACACAGTGATGCTCAAAGGCAAAACAAGAGCTGTCAGATGGAAACTGGTTGAGAAGCTTTGTGCTTCTGTTCCAGTCTTGGTGCTCTTTGCTCAGCTGGGCACATTCTGTTGGACTGCCGGGGACCTTGAAGAATGAATGTTTGCAATGGAATATTTGCCCTGATTTTGGTCTTTCCACATTCATATGACAAATCTTGATATTACAGAAGAACGTCTTTAATATCCACTCTGTGGAATTGGATGTCCAGCTTCTTTGTCCTTATCCATTCTGGGTTTGGGTGAGGGAATAATGAGAGCTGGTTGTATCCAAGAAGGAATAAAAGAAGAAAAGGACAGACTTGCTGAATTGGTGAGATTAAGGCAGCCTGCTGGAATTTGTGAAATGTGACAGGAAGGATCCATGTTGGGGGTATTGGGGTCAGTGCAGGGTAGGGAATTGATTGATAGGAACTGTGTCAGCCCTTTGCTCAGTGAGAATGGTGAACAGCATCTAGTCCTAACAGAAGGTTTGCTTCATTTGCTGCACAAACAAAAGGAGGGAAGGAGGCGTGATGCCCTAACGTGGACAAGGATGAAGTGATTGTGCTCAGAAATACTTTGGCATTTTGTAGTTCATGTGCTACAGCTGGGAGGCACAGTGCTGTGGGGCAGTGCTGCTGACTGAGACGTCAGCTGGGCACTGTCAATCTGCTGTTCCTTATTGGAGATGGAGGAGGAATTCTTGCAATGAGTGCATTTTCATCCTGTGTGAAAGCTTAATAGGTTATTAAAATAATGTTACATGGTACAGCTTCATACATGTTTTTGTATTAAAAGATTAAAAAACCTCATAATCATAATCATCATAATCAAATGTGTTTGAAGATGTAAATAAGGCTTCAAAGGTGAGCTCTGGATATATTTTAGGTGCTGGTGTCCAGCATCTTACACAAACCCTCCACCATCACCTTACTTGTGCTGATAAAACTATTAGTAGGCATTTCTTTAATTAAAAGAAAGATAAGTCTTTTGAGTGGTTCCTTTAAACCTGATCAGTTCTTGGATCTGGTTGCCCTGTAGTTCCCTCTCATGCTAAAGGGACAGTTAAAGGGTTGGGATCAGGCTGGGTAATATGGTACTTTTATCAAAAAGTGCACTGGATGATACTTGAGGTCAGCTGGGGGGGCTCAAGAAAACAGTAGGAATTAATTATTCTGAAAAGCCAGCTAGATTAGAGTGTGGACTATGGATGTGGAGGACAGTCCTTGGAGTCATTTCTTAGTCAAAACTTCTGGTACGATCATCAGTCCATGTACCTGGCAAAGCCAAAAAACCTGCACGGGTAAAAATCCAACCCAAAGTTTTAAAATCACAGTAAATGGAGTAGTGGAGGACTGGTGAGAAACCAAAGGTACTTTTCGAAGGTCAGGAAGGAAATGAGCTGTTTGTAAGCTGTGAAATGGGGAAGGAAGCAGCTCCATGTTCAGCTGAAGGGAGAATGTAGCGTGTTAGTTACAGAAGGTTGGGCAATGGAGGTGCAAGGACCTGCAAGGTAATGGCCATGCTAAAATCAGGAGAGAAATCTTGAACAGAAGAGCTCTGGTAGGAAGTACATTAACTTGTCCCTCCTAGCAGTGTCTTGTGTGGAAAATTGCACATCACAGACAAGTGTGTGTTAGGGGTGTATGGCATGGGCTGGTACAGCCCTTTTAAACTGATCCCTGTGCTGCACCATGTGTTTCCATAGACAGGACGCTTAGCCCTACAAAGTGCTGAAGCAGGGAATGAAGGCTGTAGCAGCTTCTTCCAAGGGGCTCTGAACTGAGGAGGCTCCATCCCACCAAGGCATGGTGAAAAAACTACTCTAAAGCCATATGCTTCAAATTCTGAATAACAGAATTTAAAGATACAGAGCTAAATGAAAATGTTCAAATACATTTTGTCACAGAAGAATTAATTTGGTAAGTTACTTTGAGAATAGTAAGTAAATAGATTCTTAAAATTCAGTAACTCCCATTTACATGGACTTTTATAAAGCATTTGAGATGGTGTTGGATACTACTAAATAAACTTTGGTAGTTACAAACACGGGAAATTTAGGGTGGGAGTTGCTTTGAAGAAGGAAGGCAGTATGGAAGGGTTAGCAGGAGGTTTTCAGCTGGTGGGATATTACTAATTTCTCAGATCTTTGGGATGCATTTTCAGCATTTACTTAAGTTTAAGTATCACGTATGTGCTATGGCATCCTCTGCTGGAAATTGTGGAGAGATGCTGTAGCTCTTCCCTGACTTCCCCATTCACACTCTCCTGTATGAGGAGAGGTTTTGGAGAGGCAGAAGCAGTGTAAATGCTCTGGCCTGGAGTGTGGGTTGGGTATGATGCAGAGGAGTGCACAGACTGGTTCAGGAGCCAGGATCTGTGGCAGGGGTAACAGGGATGTGGGACACAGCTGTGAGAGGGAGCTTTGGGTGCAAATTGTTCAGGGCCTGTGGGAGTAGGAGAGTCCACGTGAGTCCTGTAGGCTCAGTCATGTGCTTTGTAGCAACTTGTGATGCAGGACTGAAGCTCTCCAAAAGAGCTTCTTGCTGGGTAGTCCATTTACATCTGTGTGTGCTACCAGTCTGTATCCTTTGGCTGGGAGATGCACAATGCTGGGAGTGGGGAAATCCTTCCAAGACAGGATTTGGCAGTTTACTGGCAATATTGTCACTTGTTTGTTTATGAAAATGCAGTGGAAGGCTGTTGATGAGAAGTTCAAAATCTCAATGCATCTGTTATTCAGGGGTTGGTCACACAGGTGACATAGGAGGCTCAGAATGGGCAGAGAGTGAATTCTTTCTCCCAGAGAAGCTGGAGTAGAGAAGCTTTTTGCATGTCCCATTCCCAGGTGCAGTATCTGGCACTGCTGTTGATCTCTTTTTGCTTATGAGGAAATAGATGGAGAGGCCCAAACCTTGTGATGTATGTTTGTGCTGAAGTGAACCATCCTGCCTTGCTTATTCTGATGGGGAACCAGTTGACCAATTTGGTGGTTTTCCTCAGGGGGGGTGGGAGATGAGGGAAGTGAGTGTGTTGTGTAGGGTAATGATGCAGTGATGAGAATGAATTGTGCACACCAGAAACCTGCTGTTGACAGCTTTGACCAGCTCAACATGTTTCTCAGCATGAGCCAGAGTGCCGGCTCGGCGGTGATGATGGACGTGGCTGTTTGCTGTCCAGAGCCAGCCACGGACTCGTGGGGCTTGTCACTGAGTCAAGTCCTCCTCAGAGCAATCTTTACAATCCCAGGTTAAAGCAGTGTGTTCCTGATGGTTGCAGGTGAAATCCAGCTGACGGGTGGTTTGGTGGGGAGGGCAGAGCTTCCCTGCTGTGTGTGGCTGCTGGAGCATCAGGGCTGTACAGCTGGGGCGGCCCCACGAGGTGTGCACACAGGAGGGGATTGTCT